GGCTATGGCCCCTCCCCCACAGTGACCCCTGCACTATCTGGACGATTGGAAACAGTTTCATTTAAGTAACGAGGTGACTGCGATAACCTCGCATCGTATCAGGGAGAGTTGCCACAAGCCTCTGTTTTAAAGCGAGGCTACGTGCAAAGCCATCTTTTCATATCAATGGTAGGACCAGGCTTGACCTAAGTAAGCGAAAAAAATTAGAACTACGCCTTAGCCCTTTACTAAATCAGTGGACAGAGGCGAGCCAATCGCGTTTGCAATTTACAGTCCGACTGTGGAAAAGACATGAAACGCAACAGTACAATTCAGTTCCTCTCGTAGTTTCTCGCATGGAACTGTTAAAGGGCGATATATTTTTTTTCAGTGACCGGCGCGTTGTCGGGGTGGTTCTGATATCATTGCTAAGTTACTGAAGTTTCCGCAATTCAAGGCCGTGCCCTATAGTTAGTTCTCGGGGGGGGGGGACTCTGCATATGAAAGGGTGTGGGGATGCTCGTCTGAAATTTTGAATTAAACCCCTAAAGGAGACCGATCTGGGTTTGGCCCAAGATTTTTTTGACCCCTAAAAGAGACCATGTTAAAACACAGACAATATATATATTTTTATATTTTTTGGCGTGCAGCCCTAAACGAGACCTTCACGGCTAAATATGATGCGGTTTTGCCCAGAACACCCTAAGTGAGACTAAAATCCGAAATTTACACCCCTAAGCGAGACGACGAGCAAGACAAGACAAGACAATGCTTTATTTGGAGTCTTATACAGTCCTATGTACATCGACTTTATCCAAATAATTTAAAATCATGAAACAAATTGCACACTAGTGGAACTATAATCAATGTTAACCTAAAGAACTAATGAGCTTCTTTTCTCATAGCAGCCGAATACGTATTTTGCAGTTAACTTTTGCACTGGTTCGTTCTTGCTCGGAGGGTTTATTAACAACAGAAAAACATCATCTGGTGCCATTCTGTTTTCTGATATTCCCCACCACTTTCATACGTGGAGTCCCCACCCCCAGGAGTTAGTTCTTCTTTTGTCCACTTGTCGAACTCTAAGAGCACAAGGCTTAAAGCCTAATAAAGGGAAGGGAAAGGTTTAGGACCTTCTGTTTTTTAGTTAACGTTCAAATGTGGCTTGGCCAGGCATCAAATTGCGGCAGTATGAAGGGTCCTGCAGAAGTACACACTGTAATGGTTCCGTTTTATCTTTGGTTTAAATTTTATTTTTCTTTATTTGAAACTCATCATCGTAGATTACCACACCCAGAAATACAGGAAAATACAATTTGGACCAAGTTAAAGTCGATCCACAACAGATCCACTGACTAGGATAACAGTGGAATCATAAAAAGGCGTCCCTTCAAGAAAAATGAATTAACAGCTTGATGAAGATCACGTCTCTAATGGATTTTTTAGCAGGAACTAGAAGAGTATGGAGTGGAAGGCTGAGTATCACTGGTAAATGCTTTGTCTGAAAATTTTGTTGTATATCCTTTATTTTTCCTTTTTCATTGTACTTACAAACTCGATGCTTAAAAGAAGCTTTGTTCTGATAAGGCAAAAGAATCACAATGATATGTTAATGAGCCAGCTTGCTTAAAGTGATATAAGCATATGCATATAGTTATCCAACGACCTCCTTTGTCTCTTAACTACCGGTTAAACTGGTTTTCATTTTCCCGCATGAAGTTTTCTTTTCGTTAAATTTCCACCTCGATATTTGTAATGTTGATGCTAAAACTTGAAGGTGCTACTTAGTTGGTCCACTTGTTTAACGTTTCAGACGGTAAGAAACACAAAAGCTTTTTCCGCAAATGAAATCTGAAAACTTAAAAATTCAATATCAAAAGGCAAAAAACATTTTACGAAACTTGTTGAAGTACTATGAAAGGTCTGAAAGGATTTTGAGTAACGGTTACAATACAAATTAATTTGAGTTTATGTGGGCATGCATAACGTTAGCTTCCACAACACTTCCATGAGGCAACCATGCTCCATTCGCTTTGGCCAGCGGTCATCATGTAGATACCATAGGCTGAAACTAAAAATTCAACAAGTAAAAAACATAATTAACACATAGACAATAACCCACGTTCGATGTATTAATATTCTAACATGACTCCGAGGCTTTAGGGTCAAAATTGCAAATTTTTCACTGCTCCATTGTCTCGCAATTCCCAGAAGAGACTTGAGCCTGGTGGACTCAATCAAGATTTCTCTTTCACGTGACTTGCGCGCGCGCACACTCGCTTGTAGCTGCTTGTTTTTACGCGCGCATTTGCAAATTTTCATTTTTCCGCTATAACAAACTCACATATTTTCCCTGATGAAGGCAGCATTGCCGAAACGTCGGAGTTTTATTTGCAATTAACAGCGTTTAACTTACCACCTTCCCACTTTTAGCACACACAAACGCTACGCAGGAAACCCCTTTATTTGTACCAAAGAAAATAAAACCAGATATAGAAAAATGACCAGAAAGCCTCGGAGTCATGTTAGAATTTTAATACAGTATATCGAACATGGGCATATTCACTGTAGCGGTACTCACGCTGACGTCACTCACTGATATTAATGTGCCAACCCGAAGCGCATTGGTTCTTGAAACAAAATTTGTTTCACCCGTTACACATTTGAATAACAAAAACAATGTTTGTAAACAGTGAGCCTTCGTGTTGCTATTCTCTTACTCGTCAAAGGATGATGCTATGTTCCGTTGATTCGGTACCTCTATGCAGTGCATGCCTCAAAATGTAGTAAACCTATGAAAACGTCCTAACCTCCCCACTTTCTTCCGCTGAAAGTAGCTGCTGACCAGAACGTCTCCGGACTGACAAACACCATATTTTCAGGGATCCCTGTGCTCAGTTTGAGGAAAGTTTCGTTTTTGATGTCATAAAAGTGCTTGGAAGAGATTTTCTTCCATGAAACTCCATCATCGGTGCTGCGAAGGAAGTTCATTGCACGGTCCACTCCAAAGAGCCAGCCGCTTCTTTGGTCCAAAGCTATGACACTGATAATGTGCTCTGAAATATCTGAAAACATAGGTACGTATTCGGAGGATACGTTATGCTGATAATTTTAATAGCATTTAAAAATTTTAATAACAAGTTCCAGAAAGCTGATTTGGAGCTGGTGCTTCAGAAAAGCCCTTTTGCACTAACTTATTTGGTAAAGGGAAATTTGTGGTCTTTCCTTTCAACGTTTGAACCAAAGACGGGCAAAACAACAGTCCATTGCCGCCACTACCCTCAACAGCATGGTTGATATGGCTATGCGCATGCGTTTCCATGACTATATGCAGTTTAGTTAATGGAGCATTGTTAGCTATTGTTTTCAGATTCTATCTGAGAAGTTTCTAATTTTGATTAAAAAAAAAATCTGACATCTCCCAGCCTTTCTCACCCATTCACAAGAAAAAGGTAAAAGAGGAATATACATAAAGGTAGCACAAACGCACGTTACACTGTCAAGAATAAAACGGAATGTGGTGTTTTCGTCTCGCGCAATGCAAAAGAAATAGAAGACACCTGCACGCAGGATGCATTTGTTGTACAGTACACGATCTGCTGTACCTTGATTTTTGTTTTCTTGCTGTTTTCGTCCTTGCAAAAAATACTCCCGGGGAATGTAAATATCATTAATTCCTCGTAAAAGTGTCGTTTGAAGCCAAGCATCCTTTCAGTTCACTAAATTTCAGGCGGTGCTTCCTTATATAAGCTATACTAACTATCTGGGCGCAACGAAGGGGTACCAAATTTTACCGTATATCCCTTAAGGTCTGAAATAGGGCGTAGAGTTTAATCGGATTGGGTGTGAATCAGGGGAAGATTTTGTGCTCTTTTTGATCCAGGATCTGGGGCTAAACCTGTTGAGAAAAGCTTTTCAGGTCTGAAATAGGGCAGGGAAAATCACGTTGTTTGGTCCGAAATAGACCCCGCCAGGGTACTTGTCGACGTAGAAAACTCACCTCTCCAATCCTTTCCATCACTTGTTGAGAAACAGCTGCTTACTGATCTAACCACGCAATGACAATATTACAGAGTCAATCGTAACTATTAAGTGCAAGACTAAAGTGAAATCAGTGAACCTGTGGGGATTAACTCGCATATGAAAGGGATGGGAGGGTGCACGTCATTTTTGGGTGAAATTATAGATTTTAGTCTCACTTAGGGTAGAGTACATAACGCCAATATTTTGATCCACACAGATACACTTAAGACTTAAGGGTAACCTAGAAATAAAAGAAGGATACGTCCAAAAATATCTTTTCTATCAAAATTTAGATTATTACAATTCTTATTTGGCTATCTTTTTCCGAATGGCTTAAGCCACGCGCAGATTGTATCCTTGAGTGTATTAAATCTACTTTCTCGAATAGCATTTTAATTCTAATTCTTTCTGACAGCAAACCACCTTCTTCCTCTACCTTACAGGGAGTGAGAGAAAATTGCAACTCGTTGGCTGGGGAAGAAGGTAAAGAAAACGACGTTTGGGAGTGAAGCTCACTAAAGCCGGCCCTGTTGAGAGGTCTTTGATGAATCATTTCCTACCAAAATTGGATGGAGTAGACTATGCAGTTTAAATTTATCAATTTTCATCTTTCTTTAGACGCTTTTCATCTTTCTTTAGTCGTTTATCATATATATACCTCAAGTGAGACATATCGTAAAATATTTAAATGGTTTCTACTTCTAAATCCCAGACAAGTAAACAACCTCTCATTGCGCCAACAATTGACGAAGTTTTTATCTGGGATTTTAATTGGCGTTAACCAATCTTTGCCGGTTACGTGTTTAAGGTTATAGTGATTTTCATGACTTTAGTATGTTGTGTGCCTGTCTCTAGTGTACATGCAGACATACAACCAGCCGAACTCTTGATCCAACAAGACAGTTCTTCTGTAGTACTCTGGAACACCTAAAGATACAGACAAACATTCATTTGGTGGTGATGATGATCAGTCACGATTGATCTCCCTCAGCTTGTAGTATATTACTATAAGCGCCCTTAGATTAGAGGGAATCTCTGTGAGACCTACACTATTCGCCACTTCGTTGTTATAATTTCGTTAACTTGGTAAATCTACAGAATTTTGGAAATAAACCTGATATTGCGGTTTACATGACCCACCAATGGGCGTGTAAAACCCGGGCTCGAACCTAATTTGTGCATGTAAGCTAGCGACAGTTTGTTGTGATTGGCCTCAGAGAAGTCAATGTTTCTTTTAAACGTACTTGAATTTCCACTCGACTTGTTTTGGAGACTTCTTGCTAGAGAATTATCAAAGATGCGTTTTTTATTGCATTCGTTTTACGGTTACTGCTGCAAACAGTTTGGAAGTCGACGAAAATATCGTGTGAAAAACGACGATCCATGATTTACGAAAATCCCAGAAATAGAGGCTTAGAAGTTTTTGTTGTATGGCTTTCCTTCTATAAAACAGGAAATAGCTACAATAGCTATTGGTCAAGTCCTGGGCAACCAAGATAGGGTCATACTTCCCACTCGGTTAGCCAAACAGTGTTACACATGCTTCGCTTCATTTTACCCCGTTCGACAAAGTAGTCAATAATAAAGTTATTTATTTATTTTACTTATTTCACATTTGCCGCATAGAATAAATATTACAGAAAGAAAAGGAAAAATATACATGTGTATATATTTTAAAACTAAGATTGCAAATTTACAGGGCAGGAAAAGCTACAAAAAGAGTTCAAAACTAAATATAATCAGTATTAAGTGACTTAACTTGATAAGCTGCCATATCATGATCAGGCGATTTGAATTTATAGCCCTCGATAAGGTATTTTTTTATGAAGTCTTGAATCTACTAGAATAGATTAACTTGTCAGTTCCGTAAGATTATGGAGAAGGGAGTTCCATAGTTTATTTCCTAGATGGAGGATTGTGAACTGTTTAATGTTTGTTCTACAGAAATATGGTCGGTAGTTATTAGCATTTCCAGCATAATATGTGTGTACTTGGCGATTAGTAACAATGTGGTGTTATTGTGATATGAGTACATAAAACACGCAACGAAGAACGCATTAGTGTTAAAAATGTCAAGGATATTAAACATTGACCGATTACAAAACAAGAAATGACTTAGTCATATAATAATTACCGTTATAAGGGGGCATGGGCTCCGCTATGCAGCCGTAAAGCTCAGCCCGCATTATTTTGAGAAGCGGCGCAGAAGTTGGGATGATGCGCACGAAGCGGGTGATTATTGGCTCAAACAGTTTTACCACAACAGAATATTTTGCTTCATGTGTATCCTTTGGACCTTTCAGTTCCTGTAACAACAATACTATAGTTTGTAGTTTTGCAATATACGAAATACATTTAAGCCAGCCAGGAAAGGTTTTATTTTTCACGGAAAACTTATTAAGTTTGCAACAATCTACTTTAGTGATACAGCTTTACTGCAAGTGACACGAGGGAAGACTAGTCTATTTTGGTGGTCTATGTTATTCTTTAAATTAAACTCTTTTATGTTATAACAAAAGGTGAGGTTAAAATAGCCATTTTACTATTTATCAAGGGGAAGCAACATTTAGTGTGTGAACGATTTTTCCAAGGTGAAATCGTCTCAGGAAAAAATCTCTTGCTCGTGGGATAGGATTGGTCATATGAATAGTAACACTGTCTAATGATTTGATCTAAAGAGCTACAGGTAGGAACTTCATTTCAAAATTTCCATGACTGACTTTTGAAGTGCTTTTAACTCTTAAAAGGTTAATTGTCACCTTGGTCTGTCCATGTTCACTGTAGTCACGCCAATCAATGCTTGTGTTGCTGTACTTTAATTGAAAACTCTCCACATAAAATGGAAAATCTGATCCGGCAGATCCCTGTGTGGCTATTCTTGTCACCTTTCTCAGTGAGCCAAAATCTATCTAAAATGCCGAGAAAACAAAAAATTTCTCAAAACCATTCTTCGCTCCTTTCCAGTATTAGGGACCTTAAGGTGTGGACGACGGTGACGACAACGAGAACGTCAAAAAAGCAATAGGTTAAATATTAAAGCAAAACAACAACTTTGCACGTGCAGCACACCTTTTTTGTACATTTCTTTGCCGTCGCTGCAGGACTACGCGACGTAAACATGGCTAATTTCACGTTATATAGAGGACGTAAACAAGCCCGATGAAATTTTCTTTCTCTTTCTAAACTTGGATGGCGTTCCAAGGAACTCAGCCCTTGAAGAGTTGGCCTTCACTTGACAAACTAAGCAAGTTGGGATAATCATAAGCAAAACAAGTTTGCTAAGTTTACCCAGGATTTTTCTACCTGGATATAATCTAGTGTCCCCATTGCTGCTTGCCATCCATTAGGAAATCCCCAGTTAAGGCGGATACCCGATGGGTCTGAAACAGTCAGAGGTGTGTCTACGCTATGTGTGAGAGCTTCATCAGGTATGTCTCCAGATTCCAGACCGAGAGGGTAAATGCAGTTTTCTGTATGGAAAAAGTTGGTTATCTATGACTTGAATGGAAAAAGCAAGGAAACACATGGCGTAGCATCAATTTCACAGGCTTTTCTTATTTCCAGGCAAACACGCATGTGCAGCATGAGGGTGTAAGGAAAAGAGCGGGCGAACTCTTCCTCCTAACCACCCCGTTCCAACTGCTTTGGTACCTGCGTTCTTAGGTCCAGTTTTCTCGCGATAGAAAGGAAATTCTGTGCAGGATATAATACAGAAATCTTTGAAGGCTGACATAGAACCAGTAAATTAATGGACTTAAAACACCGCTGCGGCATTTTCAGAAATACTCTGAAGTTGCCATTGTTTTAAGCTTGTACCTTAGCATTGCAACGCGTTTAAGTGTGTTTAAATAAAAACATCAACTCGTGAACATATCAGGGCCTTCAGCCAAGCATCCAAACACCTCATAGCGCATGCAAATCAATCTCTCCCAGTCCAGTGGTCTCACGCGGAGACTATAAGCTTCGATTTCATTGGTAAGCTGATGGGAGACTGGGGTTGACCTGTCTGAGTTTCCAACAAATTCCTACAAGCAAAATTAAAATTGTTTTCATCCGTGTTTAACAATACATTTGGATCGTGGGGGAGGGCGTTGTTCCAAATACAAAGCTCTGTCTTTTCCTTACCTTAGCAAACCCGTTTTCTGCGTAATTATGCCATACAACGTCATCACTGCTGAATTGTATCATGTAACGCTTTACCCAATGTGACTTCTGACTTCTTCCATAAGTAACGATACGTGTCACGCGTGTGTTCCTCGTGAAATCCAGCTGAATGTACTGCTGCTTGTCGGTAATAAACGCGCACCACGCATCATTTTCTTCACCTTTGATAGTAAGAAAATCCACCAGTTGAAATGAGAATCCCTTACTTACGCCAGGCATGATATAGTCAAATTGATGCCATGCTGGAGACGAGATTAATTGCCCCACTTTTAATTTCTGTTTATTGTCACCAATAGAATTGCTGTCACACTTTGCCTTCATGCCATATCATTTATACATTTTAATGTATATCTGTTTGAACTGCCCTTATTATATACACTTTGTTTGCGTCCCAAAGTTTTCCTTAAGCAAAAAATTTTTCCAATTTCTCCTGGTCCCAAAATAATAAACTTGAAAATATTGGTTATGCTAAATATTAACTGGTGGGGAAGGAGGGGGCAAGCAAGTGTATGATTGTAGGAAATTCGAAATTGTTGATTTTATAAATTTTGTTCAATGTAAGGGTAACTGCCTCTTACTGCGTAGTGAACAATACTTGGAAAGACACAGAGGGTAGGACTCAGTATTTTCGTAATATATAGATTTAGCCAGGGCTAAAAGCCAAGCTCCTATTAACTCGAATTTATAATTTAAATCAAACAATAACTTGTATTTCACAAATCAGTTAACTTTAGAGCACATTCATTTGAGTTTGAGGGAAAGGCTAAGTTATTTTAGAGAAAAATAATTTGCAAACATTCCATCTAAGAGTGAACTTAATCTTACATCGAGTTGATAGCCCTATATGTACACCCAAAAAATAGCAATCATCTTCGACCACATTTAAGAGCCATAATGGCTCTTGATCACAGTAGATTAGGCCTGGAAGACAAATCAGGCCGAATTTTTTCCGTTCGACAAATTTACTTTACAAAATCTTGCCAACAAGTCTGGGGACGTGTAAACCAACCTTTTATACTTTTTATACATCACATCGGAGGTGAAACAGTACCATGAGGTGCTGTTTTTATCATACAGACCTCGGTGCAGTATGCAGTATTTCACAATTTTGCGAGAAAAATTGCACCCATTCAATATTCAGGATGATCGAAGCACGCGTGGGCCAAAATCACCTATACGGCTAGCCGGTTCTCACTTTTGACAAGCGCCAAAGTCGACTGTTAGAATTAAGATTAATAGAGTTATACGCTTCAACATAATATAGAATTTATTATGTTTATTTTTTATTTAATGGTTTTACAACGATGTGTAATCTTCACAAGCGTTTGATACGCGCGGCATTTTGACTACTCCTGCAAGCGATGTTCATGAGCAACTGAAAACAAACGGCACAGCGATTAAAATTGCAAAATAGACTACTAACAATCAATAAAAAGAAAACAATTCGGTGAAACATATACAGCGACAACAATTTTCATTCACGAAGACAAGTATTAAAGTGTCTCTGAAAATCCTTGTGTATGTTTTAAGCCGGCTTCCCGGTATTTACTTTTTTCAAAGATGAACTCGAGGCAAGAAAATCGCTCAAAGCTTTCTTTTACTGCCAGAAGTATAACTAAATATTCTTTGTAACGTTTCCTTTCTATTTGCGGTCAGAAAATGTCNGAATTTATAATTTAAATCAAACAATAACTTGTATTTCACAAATCAGTTAACTTTAGAGCACATTCATTTGAGTTTGAGGGAAAGGCTAAGTTATTTTAGAGAAAAATAATTTGCAAACATTCCATCTAAGAGTGAACTTAATCTTACATCGAGTTGATAGCCCTATATGTACACCCAAAAAATAGCAATCATCTTCGACCACATTTAAGAGCCATAATGGCTCTTGATCACAGTAGATTAGGCCTGGAAGACAAATCAGGCCGAATTTTTTCCGTTCGACAAATTTACTTTACAAAATCTTGCCAACAAGTCTGGGGACGTGTAAACCAACCTTTTATACTTTTTATACATCACATCGGAGGTGAAACAGTACCATGAGGTGCTGTTTTTATCATACAGACCTCGGTGCAGTATGCAGTATTTCACAATTTTGCGAGAAAAATTGCACCCATTCAATATTCAGGATGATCGAAGCACGCGTGGGCCAAAATCACCTATACGGCTAGCCGGTTCTCACTTTTGACAAGCGCCAAAGTCGACTGTTAGAATTAAGATTAATAGAGTTATACGCTTCAACATAATATAGAATTTATTATGTTTATTTTTTATTTAATGGTTTTACAACGATGTGTAATCTTCACAAGCGTTTGATACGCGCGGCATTTTGACTACTCCTGCAAGCGATGTTCATGAGCAACTGAAAACAAACGGCACAGCGATTAAAATTGCAAAATAGACTACTAACAATCAATAAAAAGAAAACAATTCGGTGAAACATATACAGCGACAACAATTTTCATTCACGAAGACAAGTATTAAAGTGTCTCTGAAAATCCTTGTGTATGTTTTAAGCCGGCTTCCCGGTATTTACTTTTTTCAAAGATGAACTCGAGGCAAGAAAATCGCTCAAAGCTTTCTTTTACTGCCAGAAGTATAACTAAATATTCTTTGTAACGTTTCCTTTCTATTTGCGGTCAGAAAATGTCAAAATGCATTTTAAAGTTCTAAAAGCTAAGAATCAAACCAAAATCAAACCTGATACTCAGTCAGATCATTGTCTCAAATCTTACAAACGTGCATAAACCAAATAGCCGCATAAACTACGCTCGACTTCATTAAATTAGATATAAAAAACAAACATCAAATACAATAATTACTCAGGCTTACCATTCGAGATGCACTGAAAACTATCCAGTAAGGCCAGAATCGCTTCAGACTTTTCAACTATCTTACCCATCAAGCAAGGTGAAAAACGAAAACGATGCCAAAGCAACGTATTTCTCAACCAAAAACCCAATAAACAAACTAGCCATGAATAACAGAAGACTCTTGATAGCAGCTGAATTTCACTTTGTACACTCAGTGGAAAACGACAGTTAAAAATATCATAAGTTGACACAAAACTCTGTCAGCTTCAGCTTATTATTTATTTATTTATTATTTATTTATAGATTCGTACAATGTACAGGGGAGAGAACAATAGGAC